TTTTTTTTTTTTTTGTATTTTTTTTACGATTTTCAGGTCTTTGTGTTGATTGAGAAGCTATTCTATTTTGTTAAGAAAGTGGAGAAAAAAAAAAAAGAGGCTTGTGCCTTTGTAAAGAAACAAAATAAAGTTTGTACTTGGTTTTTTAGAAGCTCGGTCCCAGCGTTAATGTTTGTGGGGAGGATGGTGACAGGGATGGATTTGGCCCCTGCAGGACTCTGGTCCCTTCTGGGGGACCTGGGGCTTGCGGGGAGGGCAGGGAAGTGCTGCCTGCATTGGGAATCGCAGGCAGGGAGTGGCAGGCAGGGAGCAGGCAAAGGCAGAAGGATGCCGGCCCGGCGAAGTTTCCCGCTGAGCGGCCAGGCTATATTTAAAGGCTCAGCCCTGCCAGCGCTGCCTGCGTGTGCTATGAGCACGTCGGGGCTCAGCTCTCCTCTGAAATGGAGGGGCGGGGGTCAGGGACTGGTTTTAGTGAGGCTGCTGGGCTGTGGGGGGACTGGGGTCAGGCTTTATGTCCTCCTGCCCTGGGGATTGCACCTGTGGGGTGCTGAGACGGGGGTGTCCCTGTGGCTTGGGGTGGGGGGGTACCCATCTCTCCACAGGGCTGCTGGCTTGCCTCATGGCTCTGTCAGGGTGGGGAAACCCCTCTCTGTGGCTTTTGGGGGTTGAGGCACACATCTTTTCTGATGGAGCACCCACCTCTTGGCATCCCCCACAGCCATGGGTCTCCACACTGTGGCCCTCCACGGTGCCCAGCCGAGGGCCAGCTCCTGCCTGCTCCCCTGCTGTGGTGGGGGGCCTGTTGTTTTCATCTGGCCCCTTCCCAACAAAAAGCTGGGTTGTGGCCCCCCAAAAGTGGCTCTTTCAGTGATGGAGCCCAGGGGCCACTCTGCCACAGCCAGGCTTTCGGGACAGCCACCCAGTGCTGTTCCCCACAAGTGGGGGTGACAGGAGCTGGTGACCCTGTGCCTCCAGCTGCTGCCATCCCCCATGCCATGCTGTTGGGGTGGTGCCGGTGACAATGGGGATGTGTCCCCTTGCGCACGGGGTGCATGACATTGCCTGGAGTTGGTGACCTGTGGTGGCTTGAGCAGGCTCCAAATCAGCCCAGGACGAGGTGCCTTTGGGGATGGATGGGGGACACCGCGGTGCTGTGATGCTCAGCTCTCCCTCTCCGTGAGATCCTGCTCCATCCAAAAAGGGGCTGCAGGAATTTGGGGCAGCCCAAGGAGATCCACTACCCCATGCCAGCAGGATGTTGTGACGGGGACAGTGACCCTGGGTGGGCAGTGCCACCCTAGGGACCCCATGCCAGGAGGTGTCCCATGCATTCGCACCCCTGACATGAGCCTTAACTGGTGCCTCAGTGCTGCCGCTGTGCCCCGTCCCAATCCCCATCCCCAGGGCCCCTGGGAGCGGAAGAGCGGCGGTGGCAGCATCTGTGCTGGCCCTGCCGGCAGCTGCCTGCCTGCCTGCCCTGCCCTCGCCTGCTGCTGCCGTATAAATAGAGGCAGCGAGCGGCAGGGAGCTCCTGGCAGCCACCATGAAGGGCCTCAACCTGCTCTGCTGCTGCGTGGCCTCGCTCCTGCTCCTCAGCACTGCAGGTACGGCTGCCCACCGGGCTGTGGGTCCCTGTGGGGCTGTGGGTCCCTGTGGGGCTCTGGCTCCCCATGGGGCTTCAGGTGCCCGTGGGGCTGTGGGTCTCTGTGGGGCTGTGGGTCCCCATGGGGCTGCAGGTGCCTGTGGGTCTGTGGGTCCCCATGGGGCTGCAGGTGCCTGTGGGGCTGTGGGTCCCTGTGGGGCTGCATGATCCCCATGGGGCTGTGGGTCTGTGGGTCCCCAAGGAAGCTGCAGGTCCCCATGGGGCTGCAGGTGCCTGTGGGGCTGTGGGTGCCTGTGGGGTAGTGTAGGTGCCTATGGGGCTGTGGGAACCCACCAGGGCTGTGGGCACCCATAGAGCTGTGGGTGCCTGTGGGGCTGCGGGTGTCTTTGGGCTGTGGGTGCTCACTGGGGCTGTGGGTGTCTGGGGGGCTGCAGATACCTGTGGGGTTGTGGGTGCTCACTGGGACTGCGGGTGTCTGTGGGGCTGGGGGTGCCCTGCAGGGTTGCAGGTACCCATGGGGCTGGGGGTGCTGGTGAGGTTCTGGGGTGCCCGGTGAGCCCAGCCTGTGCCCCAGAGCTGGGTGGGAGCCAGGAGCAGGACAGGGTGGCAGGGGTACAGCTGTCCGGGCTCCCTGGTAGCTCTGCCAGGGCTGCAGAGTCACCCCAAAATGTGCAGGGACACACAGTGGGGGGGGGGGCATGGGCAGGAGGGGGTCGAGGGGACCGTGGGCTGGGGTCCCCCTCTGGAGCCAGGGTGGGCACAGAGGCTGTGCTGCCACCAGTGTGCTCAGGGTCAGGTGGCTCGGTTTGGGGCTGTGAGGTCTTGGGGGGGCTGCTGGGGTGCTGGGGCACCCCATAGTCAGAGCATGATGGGGTGGGCTGTTTGCCCTGGAGGTGTCCTGTCATCCCCCCTGCCCCAAGGACCTACTAAGCAAGATGGAAGTTTGGGTGACCCTGGGACCCCTTCCCCGGGCTGTCCCATGCCCGCTTAGCACCCCGGTGGCCAGCTGGGCGTCCCCTGGGGCCGTGCGGCGGGGCGGCATCGCTGGTACCCTTGCTTGCCCTTGAGTTAATTTGGGCCGGTTCTCTGCCTGGCCGGGCTCCGGCGGCCGCGCTGCCGGGAGGGGGGCGGCTAAGTATGGAAACAGCCGTGTAAGGGGACACTGTGCTCCCTGCAGCCACCCCGGGCCCCCCCGGCCCTGCGCTGCCGCAGCCCCGCGCACGGGCACCCGCAGCTGCCGCCTTCCAGCACCCGGCACCCCCGGCCCCACCGAGTTTTGGCCTTTTAAGGGCATTTTGCACCATTCTTGTGAATACATGGGTTTTGGGGCTGGCGACTCACCCTGCTGGAGGTGGGGTGACCTCTGTGGGGCCGTGGGTCAGGTCTGGGAAAGGGGAGGGTGGAAAGGTCCCCTATGGGCATGGCCGGTGGCTGGTGCCACCCCAGGCTGGGAGGTGGCCCTGTGGGCCATCGGGGACTTGTCACCATAGTGGGCAGCCACCAGCTGAGGCTGGCACGGCCTGAGCTGTGGCAGACAGCGAGGGAGCAGCCCGAGGGATGCCATGGGGCTGCGATGGCATGGGGCACCAGCACCCTCTCAGCCCAGGGCCAGGATCCCCCATGTCAGAGGAGGCTCCGGGGCCAGGAGGCGCATTGGGGTCTGCAGCCTCGGAGCTGTCTCTGAGGGGCAGCCAGAGCCCCCGAGTCCCCACCCTCGGCATCTCCTGCTTATTGGGGCATCCTGTATTTCAGCTTGGTCCTGTAGCTTTGGGAAAAAGATGTAAGCAGTGGTATACCTCCTGACCATGGGTCTGCTCCACAGGGACTGGTGGGGTTTGCACAATGAGTTTTGCGTTACTCTTGGCACCAAGCTTGACTCTTGGATCTGGGCTCCTTTTGGGTGCAAGAGGTGGCTTGGTGGGGTTGTTTTCCTAATTTTGGGCCTTGTCTTCCTCCTTTGGTGAGAAGGCAGCAGGGGCAGCCCAGTGGGGAACTGGAGGCTTCACTGATGCATTGTGGAGAGGTGCAGCCCTCAGGGCGAGGGCAGTTTAGTGACGCCTGGGGCTGCTGGGATTCTGTCACCGCTCCCAGAGGCCTGGCATGGGAGGTGCCCTGCACTCATGCTCGGCTTACGCAGTCCTGCCAAAACGGCCCATGGCCACGTGGCCGGGGCTGGTGAAGCTCCCCTGCACAGCCAGCAGCACTGGCAGGGGCCAGCACCCCCCACGGGACTGGGCGATGGCTCAGGGCGAGGGCACTTGCTGGCTGCTCCATCTCTGCTCCTGCCTGGGGGAAGGTGTCCTTCTCCCCACACTCACACCTTGGGCACAGCACAGACACCTCTTCCAGGCTGGGTGGCCACAGTGAGTCCTGTGGCCACTGGGAAGGGGCCATGAGGATGCCCAGCCGTGGCGCTTGGCAGCGTTGCCCTGGGGAGCTCTTGCCCCCCCCCAGCCATCACAGATTTGAGTGCAAGGGCTACGCAGGGCTGTGCCATCACCACCTCCAGGCTGGACGAGGAGTTGAGGAAAGCCCCGGCACCTCCTGCAGCAAGTGCAGAGGGCGCTGCAGGGCTGGCACAGCTCCCTCCTGGTGACAGTGAGTGTGGGCCACCACCCCCGGGACTCCTCAGCCTGGGAGGTGTCACCACGGGCTGGCTCCATCACCATGGCCTCATGGCGTCTTGGGATGTTTCCCATCAACCCAGGACATGTCACCTTGGGGTAGGCTCCAACACCTGGAATGTGTCACTTTAGGGTGGGCTCCACCTCCCAGGATGGAACATCATGGGGTGGGCTCCACCAGTTGGGTTGTGTCACCTTGGCTGGGCTCAGGATCCGTGGGGACTCTTCACCCCGACCAACTCAGGGCAACCAGGCTCCCCAGAGATGGGGGACCCCTGTGTCCCAGTGACACCCTGCTGGTCTCATTCCATGACTCCCCCCCCCGCATTGGCACAACCATGGGTGCCACTGCTGTTGGGTGCAGGGGTAGTCACAAGGAGGCAAGGGGCTTGGGGTGCCACAGGCACCCATAGATCTTGGTTGCTCGAGCCACCCACATCCCTGTCACACCCCTGGTACCTCGCCTGGAGGAGATCCTGGCTCCCACGGGTGCACCATCTCTCTCCCAAACTTAGCTGAACACAGCAAGGCAGATGTCAGGCAGGCTGGCTGTCCTTGTCCTGGTGTGTAGGTGACAGTCAGATGGACAGGATGGCCAGGACACCTCATTTGTGCATGGCCCCAGAGGCACAGGAGCACCAGCAGGTCCCTGCGAGATGGCACCGGGCTGGGAGGGCTGCGCTGTGTGCAGGGGCAACGCTCAGTGGGGTGCGCTCTTGCCATGTCCCTGCCGTGGCCCCACCGTGTCCCCCCTTGCCAATGCACCAGCCCCACGCAGACGCCCTCTCTGTGCTGGGAGTGTGGGCTCGCTGGGGTGCTGAAACCCCAGCCCAGCTGCCGGGTCTTGCAAGGGTGACCAAATAGCTCATAAAATTGCCCGTTCTCCAGGCGCCGCAGGAATAACAGCAGGCCCTGGTGCTTTGGCAGGGCTCCACCGGGCTATTTTCAGCCTGCAGGGACATTTCCCTTGTAAGCGATAGCCCAAGGAAGCCGGCAAGCTCCATGGGGGCTGGCGGAGGGGCCAGGGAGTCTCCAGCTGGGCACCCCGAGTCGGGTTGGGGTGTCGGCAGCAGCAGCACAGCCCCGGTGCCAGCTGGGTGCATGGCTTGACCTTGCCCACATCCCTGCTCGTGGGGGCATGCCGTGAAAAAGAGCTCAGAGACACGTGGCTCCATCCCTCGTGATGGCTGAGCTGGGAACCCCCGTCCTGCTGCTGGGGGTCCGGGTGAGACCCCCGGGGCTGGGTACCGCTGTTTGGCACAACTGGGAAGTGTCTCTGCCTGGACATTCCCAAGGATTTCGGGATCTTGTGGGAGAACAGATCATCAAGCATTAAAATCCAGGCTGACAAGTCCAAGGGCTCTCCCTGTCCTGCCCAGGTGACCAGGAATCCTTGGGATGACCAAAGAAGAGGGATGGGTAGTCTTCACCCAGGAAGACTCACACTGAGTGGACGGAGGATGTTCCTTGGGGCCCCCGGGGAAGCCCGGGGAGGGTTGGTGAAGCCTCCATCGCTGGAGGCCTGGGCCAGCATGGCCTCTCTGGGGGAAGGGACTCCCCCAGCCCCAGCCATGGCACAGCGCTTCCCCTGGATCCTTCAGCATCCCCCGGGGCTGCGGAGCCCACAGGGGCCACCACGGGTAGATGTTCCTCGATGTACAGCCCGACAGCTGCCTGTGCCAAAATACCTGCTGTTTTCTCACCATCTGCTCACTTACACTCAGATCTCCCCTGGCCAGGGAGTGGTGGCTGATTTATCTTCCACCGCCCTGATGTTCATATCTTCTGCAAGTCAGGAGTGCAGGTTTTCTTCCAGATCTTTAGGGTGGATGCCCTGTGGGGAGACAGTTGAAAAAACACCCCACAAAAGTGATTCCCCATTTTCGTCTCTATATTTAGAAAGCTCCAAGACTGGTTTTAATCCCTTTGGTGCACCCTGGTGACACTTCCTTACCCTTTCTTAATCAAAATATCATGCAGTTCTAGCCAAGTATTTATAGAAATCAAATACATTTATATTTTTTTCAACTAAACTTAATATTTGCTCCACAAATGAGGTGAAGTTAGTCTGACAAAGATGTTTCCTATATCCCTGCTGGGCTCTGCACTGAAAAACTGGAAAATATTTACTCGTTGCTGGTGACTTGGGATCATTCTCTGGGATGGGATGCTGTGGCTTTGGGGTGCGCAAGGGTCTGGAGAGCTGACCCCATCCTCAGCTGCTCTTGTTCTTGTGTCTTCTGGGCTTCTTGAGCCACCTTGCAACACTTTCCTCTCCCAGTGATGGTGAAGGTGTTGGCCTGGCTGGCTCCAAGCTGGTGCTGGATCCAGGCTCCCTCCTGCCCCAGCTGCTGAAGAGCTGCTGTGTGAAATGTGGGCAGTAAAACAACAGCACTTCATCTGTGGGGCTCAGCAGCAGCACGGGTCTCTGCCAGGTCAGCGCAGAGTGGGAAACTGAGGCATGGGAAGAGCAGGAAGGAGATGCTGCCCACTGCTGTGCTCCAGTCAACACCCAGAGGTGGGTGTGCAAGTCTGGGGTACCCAGGCCTGAGCCTGGGTGAGGGGCATGGACCCCGCTTTGGGCTCCCCTGGCCCTGCCTCCCACCTGGGAAGGGTTAGTGGTTGCAGAAAGGTCAGGCTCACAGGGCTAATCCACCTTGACTTACTTTTTCCAGAAGCCAGGCTGTTGTCTGACATCAGCAGCACAGAGCATCGTAATCCCCAGGAGCTGCACCCCCTCCCAGGCAGACCCCCTCACGGGGGCAGCTGATGGCCGGGGCAGGCTGGGGCTGACCCTTGCTGAGGGCAGGGTCAAATGTCCCAGGGCTGTGACTCCTTCAGGTCCAGCCACTTTCCTCACAGTTTTAAAGGGTTTCAGCAGAGCAAAGCACAGCTCTTTGGTTTTGTTCAGCTTGCCTGCCCCTGAAAAGGAAGGGGCAGACAGATTTGGGGTGCAAGTTGACCCCAAAACCTCACTGGGAGGACAAGGGGAGAGCAGGACTTGCAGGAGCTGGTGGATAACTCCCCTGGGTGCTGCAGGGGCTGGGATGTGGGCCGGGGAAGGGGGTGTGTGAAAATCCATCCCTGAGGCACTGCACATCGCCGGCCCCACGCTCAGGGCTCCAATTTCTGCTGGAGGGGGAGCACGTCCCTCCCAGGGCCACCTGTGCCCATCTGTCCCTCCTAGCCAGCCCCTGCCCCGGCACCATCCCTGGGGGCTGTCCCTCCTGCTGGACCCATTTCGTCACCGGGACCTTGCTGTTCCATACGGCCCCACGCAGGGATGGAGAGGGCACCGTAGCAGCATCATGTACAGCCTCTGGCAGCCATCCTCACCCTTTCTGCACGGCTTTTTCCTGGGTGCAAACCAGCCGTGGCATGCTGTAGCACACAGAGCCCCGCCACGAGCTCTCTGTCCCCGCAGCTGTGCCCTGGGGTGCTGTCACCTCTAGGGAAAGGGTCCCCAGGCAGCTGACAGCCCTCCCAGCCCTGCAGATGGGTGTGAGATTTGGGGTGGGCAGGGACAGCGCAAGCCAGGGACCCTCTGGGAGGTAAGGTCCCCAAGGGGAGTGGGGCAAGGGCTCCACTCTGATGCCATCCGGCTGCTTGGCACATGCAGGGTGAGAACAAGGGGAGCCCCGGTGTCACTTTACAATGTGGCTGTCCCCAGTCCCTCCCGGAGTCCACGGAGACCCACAGGACAGGCCCCAGGTGTGGACGTCACCCTTTGCTGGCAGCGGGGTGAGGGGCTGTGGCCAGCGGCCGAGGGGGGCTGGTGCTTCACTGTCCACACCCTGCTGAGTTCCTTCTGATCCCCCCGTACAGTTGCTGGGACGTATTTTTAGCCTCCAGCAGACGTGTGGAGGGTGTTAAGCCCATAACCTTAGTCCCATTTTGCTGCTCATCAGCCGGCCATCTGCAGATCAGCACAATTTGCCTTGGGATGGATTTGGAGACCATGTAGGGGAAACAGGAGGGAGAAGGAGGTGGAGAGGGAAGAGGGACTTTACATAAGACCTTGAAGGTCACAGGAAATAAAGTCCGTGACCAGCACACAGGCAGAAACATCCCAGTTGGAGTGCCTGAGGAGTATTTCCCTTTTCCCACAAGGGAAGGCTCACGTGGGTGCTGGGGTTGCCGTTGTGCCTGAGCATGGTGGGTGATGGCACTACTGTCCCCCCGCATTGGGACAGAGGGGACACACAAACCCTGGATGAAGCCCTCGGGATGAGTGGGGTCTCCTCTGCCTGGCTCCACTCCCCCCACTCCCCAGCCTTGACCCTCCTCAGCCCTTCAGATCACCGGCTATTTTAGGGCCAAGCTGAGAATATCCCTGTCCCTGTTGGCCGAGACGACCCTCAGGAGACCCAGGCTGGTCTCCAGGCCATCAGGGCCTGGCAGGGGCATGCTGGCTTCTGGCCACCCGGAGCTTTGCAGGTCAGACATAGCACATTCCTCTCTGAGTGGCTCCTGGGAAGCTACGCGCCCCTAACGGGTCCTGGGGGTCCCACAGGAAGGTGACCTAAAGGAGAGGGGTGCCCTGGGTGGGAGGGAGGCGGGTGGGAGCTGTGGGGGGCCCCTCTACCTCTGGCTGGGAGATGAATTTGAAGCCTGGAGGCACCTGTGAGCCGCGTGCCAGCAAAGGACGGGGGAGGTCGGCAAGGGCAGGTCAAGGGTGACCCGGCGCATCCGGTTTTGGCAGGACAAGGGGCCGCAGGGACGGCGGCGGCGGCTCCACTGTGCCAGGCTGCACGTGAGAGTGACTGCACGCCCTGGCAGGCCGAGGCACACCCCGTCCCTCCCAGCCGCCTGTGGCTGGCACAGCTGGTCCCCCGGTGCGAGCCCCCCGCTGCCGCCTGACTCCTGGCTAACAGCACCGCTGGCCCCAGCACAGATAGAGATGCAACCGCCTGCCCAGCATCCCCAGCCACGGCAAACTGGCTGCAGTGGGCAGAGTGGTCTGGGGCTGGCACTGAGCCAACCCTGGCTCAGCTCCCTCTGCTCTCAGCCACCGCAGTCCCCCGTGGCCAAGCCCAGCGAGCCCAGCGCAGGAGCCAGAGGAGAGGGCTGGTTGCCAGCCAGCTGCCTGTGCCCAGCGCTGCCTGTGCCCGGTGCTGCCCGCTCGCCTCCCCGCAGCCTGGGTGGAGGTGGCATTTTTTCCTGGTTGGCATCTGCTTGCCAGCTGGAGTACAAAGGAATTATTTTCCTCTGAAACGCTTCCCTGGTATGCAGGCATTAGACGTTTCGGGGGATTATTTAGACTAGCAGCAACTGTTTGTAATGGAGACAGTATAGCCGGTGATCTTTTATTTTTGGCACCCGTTGACTAATGTTAAACTGCAGTTGGAGGCCTATGGAAAATACGGATGGCTTCTCCCAGGCCACAGAACAAACTCATTGTGTCCCCGCCAGCCGCACAGCACGGCAAATGCTTTCCTAGTGAAGGGATGCTCACAATAAATAGCTCCCGAGCCCTGCTGCTGGGGTCAGGCCCTGCCTGTGCTCATCTGCCCGTGGAAAGGCAGGGCCCCGCGCTGGGGAGCACCTCGCCCCGAGGAGCACCTTACACCTTCCTCCCCCTTGCTCCTTCCCCCTCCTCCCCCTCACCCAGACACCCGCCATGGCCAGTGCGATGGTCTCCCGAGGCAGGGCTGGGGAAGGACCCTTTTAACCTGCCAAGTGCCTGTGGCCCCTTGAGCTACACTTTTTCTTATTCCTTTCCCCCCCATTTTTTAGGGCTGTTTTGCCACCTTCCTGCAGGGCTTTGCGGTGGGTGGCAGCCATGGCCCCAGGCAGCCATGGCCAGCGCAGCCATAGGGCCCCCTGCTAGCATTGGCTTTGCTCCCTCCCAGAAACCACTCTTTGCACCCAGCTTCTTGCAACAGGGACAGAAAATTGAGCTGCAACTAGAGAAGGTTTAGGAAAGAGTTTAAACCTCTTTGTAACAGCCACAAATCCTCCCTCAGGCCCCCACCACCCCCCACCCCTGGCACTGATGCGGGGGCCAGTGGGTGCCCTGGTAGCCACATGCCAGTGCGAGTGACTGACTAAGCTGTTCTCATCGTTTAGAGCCGCATGTCCCCAGCACGGACCCTGTCGGCAGTGCTGCCGAAAGCCCCTTGCCAGCCACAGAGCCCAGGCTGGAGAAGGCAGCTGACAGCAGCCCTGAGGAGGACCAGGAGGGTGGCCCTGCCAACACCTCCTTGCCTGGCACCACTGAGGAGGGACACAGAGAGGGGGAGGAAGAGCTGGTGGGTGGCCTGACCGAGGACCTGGGGCCAGGGGATGGACAGCTGGAGGAGACCACCACGGAGAAGGACAAGGAAGGGCCCAGCAAGGTGCAGGGCCCAGGGGTGGACACCATGTTGGGCAACCCTGAGGCAGTGCATCACGAAAGGAAACATGGGCCTGGCCCACAAGATGGTCTCTGTGCCCGGGAGGATGAGGAGCCCAGCGCCAAGGAAGTAGCCTCTGAGGAGCAAGGGCAGCCTGGGGAAGAGAAAATGAAGGAGCCAAGAGCGGTGTCTGCTCCCAAGGCAGGAGAGGAAGGGGGCGAGCAGAGCTCAGAGGAAGATGACGAGCAGGGGGAGTCTGAGGAAGATGAACATGATGAATCTGAGGAAGATGGAGGTGGAGAGTCCAAGGAGGAAGGAGAGTCTAAGGAGGAGGAAGAGTCTGAGGAAGATGGTGCTGGGCCAGTGGGGCCAGAGAACGGAGCTGAACGGAGTGACAAGGAAGCAGTTGGCTCTTCCAGAAAAAAGGTCCATGGCAAACCAGAAGCTGCCAGCAAGGGAGAAGCCGGGAATGGCCCTGCCAGCTGTCATCACCCACCCTGTGACAACATAGCAGAAGACCTGCCAGAAGCGGTGGAAGACCCACCAGCAGCAGTGGAAAACTTACCAGCAACAGAAGACCCGCCAGCAGTGGTGGAAAACCCACCAGCAACAGAAGATCCACCAGCAGAAGACCCACCAGTAGCAGAAGACCCACCAACAGTGGCAGAAAACCCCGTAACAGCAGAAGATCCACCAGTATCAGAAGACCCCCCAGCAGTGGTGAAAAACCCCCCAGCAGCAGAAGACCATCCAGTAGCAGAAGATCCACCGGCCGTGGTGAAAAACCCTCCAGCAGCAGAAGACCATCCAGTAGCAGATGACCCCCCAGCAGTCGTGAAAAACTCCCCGGCGGCAGAAGACCCCCCTGCAGACAAGCCATCGCTGGCAGAAACAGAGAGCCCACCCGGCCACAGTGCCCACTCAGCTGCCACCGAGCTCCGGCACAGCCAGATAGGTTGGAGTCTTTTCTTGTTGGTGTGCTGTAGCGGCGAGAGTGACCTACTATCAACCCCTGGCAGAGCTGAGCTTGGCACATTAAACTGCGCCTAGTGCATGGCCCTCTCCTAATGCTTGTGCTTCCCATGCCGACCCCTAACCGCTGCACGGCTGGGCCGGCTGCGGGCATCAAGGGTGCAGGCAGGAGCCCACGGATGCCTGCGATGCAGGCGCTCATTGCAGCGATACCAGAGCTGGCTGACATTTCCCTTGCTGCACTTTAAGTCCGTGATTTCTGCTCTGGGCCATGGACATGGATAAGATTTTTAACACCCAGACCCCTTTCAGCACCTGCAGACCTCTTAAAGGCCCTTTAACCTCCAACCTCAGAGGACTCCGGCCCCACAGCTTTCTTGATGCAGGGGCAGGATGCTGCCTGGGCTGGTAGGGCTCTTGTCCACCAGTCCTTGCCTCGTAGGGAAGGTGTGACGAGCTAATTCAGACCAATGAGTTGCCAAAGCACTGGCTCTGGCCACATTTGGTCAGTGAAAAGCTAGTTAAGGAAAAGGGACACTCCTCACCATGATTTCCTAGAAATGCTTGTGGACTTCGGTCCATGGGTTGGGCAGTGACCTTCAGACCCAGGTGTCTTTTTCTGCTTTCATCTGTAATGTCCCAGCTCAAATGGTTCCCATTTGTGCTGAAAGGGAAATCCAGTTTGTTCTCTGTGGCTTTACTTGGCAGGTCAAAAGGTCTTCTTCAGCCCAACACTCAGTAGACACTCAACACAGTCCCAGGGTTTGGTGGTGCACCTCTTGGCCCAGGCATCCCCAGCGCAGCCAGCCAGCCCGTGTCTGTCCCCAGACCTATCCCCAAGACCCCACTAAAGCCCAACCCAGCTCCCAATATCAAAAGAAGCACTTGGAGCTGCATGGGACCCTCGGTGTGCCAGCACCTCCAGGGTGAGGACTCCTCTGTCTCCCAGTCTCATGGACACCAGGGTGCCTACTGCAGGTGGAGGCAGCTGCCTCATGCTCCCTGGGCCTGGCATGGAGCTGTGGGGGCCCCATGCAGGGAGCTCCAGCCTGGCATGGGGGCAGAGGCAGAAGAAGCAGGAGGGGATGACCTCACTGGCAAAGGCGAGGCAGCCAGGATGGGCCAAGCTGGCCAGTCTCTCAAGAGCCAGCCCCAGCCTTGCACATCCTCATGTCACCGGCTCAACGTGTAATTTTGGGGGGGAGCGGACAGACAGAGAGGCAGAGCAGAGCGTGCCTGCGGCCAAGGCTTAGCCCTGCAGGAGCCACAGCTGCGGGGGAAGCGCTGGGGCGGGTAGGGGCCCCTCGGGCTCCAGGTGCCACGCGTGCTCGCTCTAAGTCCCAGCCCTGGGAGCCCCGTCCAGGCACATCCTTCGCATTCCCCACAAGCGGCCGGCCCTCGCTCCCCCCGGGGAGACACGGCATGCCTCCCTTGCCAGCCCCTCCTCGGAGCCAAACAGTTGCCCACGATGTTCCCCAGGCAGCCACAGCCCTGGCAGTCCCCACCAAGCCTCCAGGAGCCTTTGCAAAAGAGAAACCCAGCGGGTCCGTGGGTTCGGGGTGTGTGTGCTCCCCCATGCCCTCTCACCAGCAGTTGCTTGTGTGAGCTCCTGTGTAGACTCCCCCCTCCAGCAGTAACAGGTCTCCTTGCCTTTTTCCTCCAGAAGAGGTTGAAGATGCCAGCGAGCCCACCAAGCGTGACCGGTCCCACTTGGAGAGCACCCTCAAGCTGAACGAGGACAAACCTGCCGATGATTTCTCAGGTGAGGGGGCCTGGGTGGCACCGAGCCATGCATGGCCTGCTTCTTCAGTCCATGCTACCCCGCAAGACAGGCTCCTTGGCAATCTGCTGCACCAATGGCATGGATGGGATTTCCTTCCCTAGAGTGTTTTAGTTTTAACTTCACTCCTTGTAGGTCCAACAAAACCATTCTTCAATAACAGCCCTTTTGCTGCTCTTGAGGTAATATATTTTAGGTATTTCAAAGACAGCCCCAAGGGCGTATAAGAATTAGGAGGATAGAGAAGCTGGAAGATGTAGATGGTGAATCAGCCCAATCCAGCCACATCCCTGCCCAGAGAAACCTGGGGCAACCATAATAAAGGGCTGGGATTTTTATTTCAATTATTTATTAGGTTTTGCTATTATAAGGCTTGCTTCTGCTGGCCTCATGGGCAGTCTGGACTGAAAAGTCATAAAAGCTGCTGTGGAAAAGTCTCCTTCTTTCTTCTAGCAAGCAGTTTAGGGGTTGTGCCAGTGGTCCCTAGCACTGTGGTGGTCTTTTGGGGTCACTGGTGCTGAGTACTAAACAGCATTAATGAGAGATGTTCCTTCCATCAACTGCTGGCATGTGCAAGACTGGCAGCAGATGGGGACAGTGCCCAGCAGGAAATGGGTATCAAAATGTGTGACTGGGATCAGTTTGGCCAAGATTTCAACTGTGAGCCAAGTCCCTTGATCCACAGCTGAGTCACCCTCGAGATCTGCAAGGAACTCCCAGCACCTTACCTAGGATGGACTAGGTAAGGGTGGTGGGGGTTGCCTTTCACCCATCTGCATGCTTCCACCCCTGCAGGAGCACTGCAGCGCCTGAGGAAGATCTACCACACCTCCATCAAGCCCCTGGAGCAGTCCTACAGATACAACGAGCTGAGGCAGCATGAGATCACAGGTAATGCCTGGCTCGGGTAGTTTGTCTTCCATTGCAGCTTCCCAAGAAAGCCACGAACATTCTGGGCTTAGAGAACATGCCCTAGTGAACTCAGCGGCAGGCATTCCTGCATCTGCCTTAGCCCATCTGCTGTCAGGACCATCTGTGTAGGCTGAGCATTGAACTCTGCCTGCTTCAGGTCCTCCACCAGCTAACATCAATGCCCTGTACCCGTGCCAAGCAGAGATCATGGCCGAGTGAAACAGGCTTGGCAGGGAGGCTTAGGACCTCTCAAGGCTGGGGATGAGCTTCCTGGAAGTGGCTGGAGCTGGCATCCTTCCTGCTCAGTACGAGACACAGCCATGTGGGCCAGGTATCCCTCAAGCTCAGCAGCCTTCACTCATCCTGGGAGTTAGATTTTCCAGCCTTTGGCAATTAGACACATTGGATCAGGTGAGCAGGTCCCTGTGGCCACAGGCATTGGCTTGGAGTGAGCCCCAGCAGTGCACGTGTCCCCCCAGAAGAAGTGCAACTCTGGCCCTAAGATGCTCACAAACTACAGGAAGCTCTTGTGACCCATAAGACACAAGCAGCCTCATTTTCCAAGCACAGATGGCTCAAGCCCAGGCCTGTTCACTGGGGTAACTCTCCTGTGAGCCCCAACTCGTGCTCTGTCCTGAGCCAGGGCCAGATGGCCCCTGTGCCTTGGCTGGGCAGGCAGAGGATGCTGGGGTCCCTGCTGCCTGTGTCCCAGGGCTGCATGCTCACATCAGCCTCCTGCCAGGGTCCTTCCTTGTCCTGAAGTTCTGCTTCCCTCCCCAGGTTTCCAGCCTCACACACCCTGGGGCTAAGCCCTCCCTCCTGGCGAGGCAGGACCTAGATACACCCTTCACGCAGACCTTCCTATTGCAGCTGGACTCTGCTCATGCACCAATGCACGGGTCCCACATTCATCTGGGACACATCTCCTTAGAGCAGAACCCTTGTTTTACAGGCACCCCCACTTCAGCCCAAATGCAGCTCCTAAATCTCTGTTAGATATTTTGTAAGAGGGCTGGGACATTCCCATACCCAGCCAGCCCATCTCCAGCTTAGAGCCAGTGGGGAGCACGGGCAGGGACAGAGCTGTGGAGTCCTCATCACCAGCCCAGGTCCTGTCCTCTCAAGACACAGAGCACCCTGGACATCATCCACCAGGCACCCACAGGGGTTCTGGAGGGGGCGTTTGTAGGTCTCATAAAACCCAAGCCCTGTGCCTAGATGCCTCCCACAGCCAGCCCCATGTTGCTGCTTTTGCCTGCCTCTCTGTGCTGCTCGCCAGCAGCTGGGGACCACAATCCTCTTGCTGTGTGGGAGGGTAACTGGGGGGTCACAGCAACATGCCATGCAGCAGCCAGCACGAGAGGGGTGCCCAGCAGACCATCACCCCACAGCTGCTGTCACCCACCCAGCCTGTCCCCTCCCTCACACAGCCAGCACAGCACTGCCATGTGCCTGGGAAAGGAGCTGTAGGGTCGGCACCCTGGGGCGCATCCCACAGCCTCCTCCGCTGGGGCACTGCGCAGCGAGGACAGCCCAGCTGTGCCCTGTCCCAGCTGTCTCCATCTGGGAGCTCATGGATTCAGCAACACCCAACCTCCTCTCCAAGCTGCTTTGGTCTATGTCGGTGGCATCTGCATTAACTGTCAGCTCAACCTGGGACACTGTTTAGAACATTTAGGGTTACAGGGGCAGCTGGTGGGCTCTGAGCTTCTAATCCTCACTTCATTTTCCACCGCCAGAGAATATAGACCCCAGCCTCAGCTTCCAGCGCACAACCTGTTTCCTTGCTCAGGGACATCCCACCCTGCCCTTCAGTCATCCCATGCCCAAGAAGTCATCTCCCTGCTCCCTTTTGGGGAGGAAGCAGGTGTTTCTCTGGTCCCTGCTGGCTTCCTCCCTCCTAGCTTCTGAGGAAAGAACCACTAACATTGTGTTTTCCCAGCCTGAGGCCCCTCTCAAACCCAACTCCTGAGCAGGACTCACCACAGACAGCAGGTCCTGGTGTTCCTCACAGTCTCATCTCACAACACTCCACAGTTTGTTCCACTTCACCATGAGGAACAAACACCCCTCAGGCTGACAGTTGCCCAGGGCAGCTCCCAGCACGCCCCATTCTGTCCCACATGGCACTCTCCCTGCAGTGCAGATGCAGCCCCAGAGCTGGTAACCCACAGTCACAGCCTCCTGGCCCCAAGGGAAGGGACGTGGGTGCTTGTGTCGCCTGCAGCCCTTGGCTCAGCCACGAGAGGCCCTGACCAGGCTCCCCTCAGAAATGCTTCTCCTGCCACCAAACACCTTGCAGCATCTCTGGCACCCCAACCATATCCTGGCACACACAACCCCATCCTGGAAATCTAAATCCCTCGTTAGCAGTGTAATTAGAGAAACCTGCAAATTAGTTAGAAGGTTGGCCCAGGGAGTCTTCTTGACCTTGCAAGGCAGGTAAGGACATAGTGGGGCTGAGGGAGCCTTCTCAGCTGCTTCCTCTGCATGGTGCCTCTGTCCTGTGTGGGTTTGTTGCACCAGTGGTGCCCCTGCAAGCTGGGAGAGGCTCCCATCCTCTGCCCTGCACCACCCCCCCCTGGCAGGGGGGAGGCTGGAGGGCACAGATCTGCCGGCTCCGCTGGCCAGGAGGAACGGGACAGCTGGGAGAGCAGTGGGATAGGCCTGTGTCATGGAATATGTGTGACCTTTGGAGGTGTAAGCCAATATAGAGGGGTGCCGTCGCAAGCACCTTCGCCCCTCCATTATGAGGCAGCCCTTCATTTTGTCTCCCTTCCCATCAGCTCTGCTCATGCACGCCATCCAGTGCAATCCAAGGAGCCCTCTGCTCCCCACGGCTCACAAAAACACACATGTAGTTGAGTGCCACCTGTCCCAGGGAAGCTGCGACTGCCTCCATCAACCTAAGACTCTGACATGTTGGGGTGCATCCCAAAAAACTCACCCCACACCCTCTGCTTGCAGCGTGTTTAAGCCTGGCAGGTGCCATCTCCTGTTCCCTGCCTGCCACCCTCCTGCACCCCCGCTCTGCCATCCCACCTGGGTGTGGGCATGCTCTGGGCATGCCTGTGTGCCTGGTCACCCTGTAGGGGCTGCCCCTAGCTCAGGGGTGAGGGACTCTCCCAGTCTGGTGATGGGAAGCTTGCTGTGAAGCCATGCCAGTTTGTGGTGCATGCTGGTGACCCTCGTAACTGTGTATGTGCTGATTACCCTGCCTGGATAGGGACTGACCTCCCAGTTGCCCTCACCAGCCACCTTGGGGCTGGATATGGGTAACCACACCACTGGGGTGGTCAGGGCACTTGTCGGGGATGGTTGCTGTCCTAACCATGGCTTGTTGGGCTCCGTTTGCTCAGTGAACGTTGCTGGGGAAGGAGATAACTCCACTAAGTGGGGCAGGAGGGTTGGGGTGCTGTCTCAGATGCGGCAGCTCTGCTGGGGCTGCTCCCCCAAGCCACATCCCTGGTGTACAGGGCAAGTTGGGGTTTAGTGCTTGTCCTGGTAGCTGCGGGTCTCATTGCTCACAGACTGTAACTCCTTCTCTCCTGCTGGGAATGTGGCCGTCGCTGGCTTTTCCTGCCCACAAGAAGGCCAGGGCCAGTCTTCAGCTCCCTCCTCGGCCTGGGACAGACCCAGGCAGCCGCGTCCCTCCTTCGACTCACGGTACCTTTTCTCTCTCCCCGTGTCCCCTGCTAACAGCTTACCCTGGACGCACCCTGGGCTCCTCTGCCACAGGTTGGTATCGCTGCCTGCTACCTGCATGCTGCCAGCGCTGCCTAAGCTCTTCGCTGGCTTCCAGCTTTCCTATTCACCTGCCCCAACAGAGCCACACTTCCCAGGCACCAAGCAGACCCCAGTACTTGGCCTCCCATAGCACCCACCGGAGCCAGTGTCCCCAGCCCTTCCAGAGCTCAGCACATGGGTTGCTGTGCTTTGTCCCTGACTCTGTGCACCCTGACAGCCCCCTCCCTCCTGCAGTCCCCAGGCTTTGATACCTTTCCCTCTTGGGTTAAGACTCAGGAGGTTGCGTATTCCTCTAACCATGGTTCAAAGGCATTTGTGGTGGACCTGTGGGTTGATCTCTCACCCCAGCATGAACTGGAGGAGCCCAGCAGATAACCCACCCTATGGAGGGGAGCTCTTCCCACCCTTCACCCTCCTACGTGCAGAAACTTTCCCGAACGTCCACCCTTGATCCGCCCCCCGGCTGCAGTTTAAGCCGATGAGCCCACAGCAGCTGTCCCAGTAACACAGGCTGGCCCCTGCGCAGCGGCCTCAGCCCCCCGGGAGCCGGAGCTAGCTTCTCTCCCTGCCTGTCCTGCTCGGGGTGTGCCGTCAGGTCCTCCCCAGAGAAGCAGGGGATGGGAGACGGGCCAAGAAATGCCAGCCAACACCCATCCCTTTCCCTGGGTCACAGGGACAATATCCCTGCTGCGGTATGAGGCAGGGAAACCCCTTCTTCTGCCCCCGTGTCCTACCCCACAGTCCCCGCCGCCAGATCCTGCTGAAGCGGGCTCCTCCGCACCCCAGCCCCGGACACAGCGGAGCCCTGCCAGCACCTGGAGGGCCTCTGGCTCCCTGGCGTGCCAGCGTGCTGGCAGCGGAGAGGGTTGTAGATATATATAGCATATTTCAGAAGCTGTCTTATCTGCATCTCTAGCTGCAGGCGCACACACGCGTGCTGCTTGTGTGGGTGTACGCGCACGGGGAGCACGGCGCAGAAGCAGGCGCAGGCAATCTGCAGCCACGTGTGGCTTGTCCCTCCGTCTGCGGGCACACGTGCTGAGTGGGTACTCGTGGCTTCTGAGGCTTCGGGACCGAGCCGGCCAGCCCTCCAAGGGTTGCTGGGTGGCACATCCCTGCTGTAGGCAGAGTGGCTGGCAGTGTTTGCGGTACAGGGATGGGGTGGCAGCGTGGGCAATGCTGGGAGAGTCTCCCCAGGTGTTTTAGCCTTCCTGAGTGGTCTGAGGACAGAGCAAGACCTTCGTGCCCATAGCTCAGTCTGAACCAGGAGAGAAAGAAGGTTTTGCCATGTCCTCCGCTTGGTCTAACATCCTCAGGACAGACTTGCACAGTGGGGGTGAGCTGACACCAGGCACTTCTGCTGGGCATGAGGACAAGGAGGGAGAAGACCTGGCCCAGGGTTAACCCCACCTAAGAGCAGCAGCGCTCCCACCCAAGGGCAGCCTGGCATTGCAAGGAAGCTGGAAAAAACTTCCAGAAAGACACTGCTCTAGGAAAAAAAAAATCTATTTGGACATCCAGATTGCTCTTACCCCCAGATCTGAACAGTCCAAGGCAAATGCAGGCTCTGTGGAGGGAGATGTGACCTTCCCAGCCTTGTTTGCCAGGTGCTTTGAAGGATTGTAATATGCTTTACTCTGCAGCTTAGACAAGCTGTGTTTTAAGCTGCTGTGCTTTAAACAGGACCGCAGACCCCCTTGCTCACAGGCAGGGCTGATCACTCACCAGTGTGCGACTGCTCCTGTGCAGGACTTGCCTGGCTGGAGCTGAGGTGAGCTTGAGCCGGGATGAGCTTGAGCTGGGAGCAAGGCAGGCTGGGCTGGGAGCGAGCAGCCACAGGGTGGCTGGAGAGAGCTGCCGTGATGGAGCTGCCGCCATCCCTGCCCTGCAGCTGGCGAGGACTGACTCTTTTTCCCTGGCAGGCCCATCAAGGTGACCCAAATCGGTGCTGACACAGTGGGGGGACGTAGCAGGGACAGATGCCAGGCCAGCACCCTCCCAGGTGGGAGATGCTCTCTGCTCTCTCAGACTCTGGGCAGCAGTGAAGAGGACCCACAGGTGGCCTCACATCCTCAGGGCTGCTCTGCTACCTGGAGAACTGCAAGGATCCAGTGCCTGGCACTGCCCAAAAAGCCCATGGGGTGCCAACACCCGGCTCCCAAAGCAAGGGTTAGAGATGGGCTCGACGAGCTGTCGGCGACCCAGCTGGGGGGTTGCCTGCACCGCTGCCTGCCTCGGCAAGGCAGGGATGAGGTGGGGACATGAAGCGGAGCCGGGGCATAGGGGCTGCCTGTGTTCACACAGCCACACCTGGCCAGGTACGTGTTACGAAAGAGCACGCGGGGACCCGCCTCAAACCTTTGGCACAACATCACAGGGGATAATAATAATAATAATCATCATCCGAAACCCAATTAAAGCCAGCAAGCAAATAGAGCAGTGGTGATAGAGTGGCACAGAAGAATGAATAATAACAAAAGTCTTGAGGTTTCAACATTTGTTTTTTGTCCCGTGTGAGAAGACAACGGTTGGATCCCCACGGCTTGCCGGCAGGCAGCAGGCAGGGCTGTCCCCTTGCTTTGGACGTGGCTGCCCTGCCACATCCCTGCCCTGCCTCCCTGCTTTGGGGAGGAGAGTTGAGCTGCATGGATGCAGCTGTGCCCCGTGGAGAGATGTCCCCAGCCCATTCCCTTCCCCAGTGGTGACATGGTGGCTCTGCAATGGGCAGATACAGGCAGGAGGGAGCTGGCACACTCTGCCCAAGTCCGGCACCCATGTTTGGATGGGTTGGGTACGACCTGCCATGCAGTGCCCTTGGGAGCAGGAGCTCAGCACCATGTGGGCTTTGCGACTCCCCCAGCCTTGGAGATGGATCCCTGGCTTGTTGGAAAGCTGCTGGCTCCTGCACGGGCAGCAGCCACAGAGCTACAGGGTCTTTCAGCCACTGCAGGGAAAATAGTTCCACAAAGAAAGGGTGTCAAAGGCAGTGTGGGTCGCCCAAGGGCATCTCCTTGACCTGGGCCACAGGGGAAGGCTCAGCTCTAGATGAGAGACAGCAGATCCCAGCTCCTCGAGAACTCACTCATCCTCATCCAGTTCTTACTTCCATTTCTGGCCTGCCTTGGCCTTGAGCTGACTTGCAGGCTCCCGGCTGTCCTGGGCACAACTCGGGGGCTGGAAAGGGCCAGAGGCTCCTCTGGCTCTGCCGACTGGCTGCCCAGTGGCGGGGGGCTGGGTCGAGCAGTGTGGACACAGGCTGATTGAACGAGTCCCACTGGAGTAGAGATTGCTCCTGGGAGCAGTGGCTGCGTGTGTCCAGGGACCTCCGTGCTCCTGGACTGACCATGTCCAGGACCAGGGGAACAGGTCCTCATGGGCCCACCACCAGCCTCCTTGAGCCCCTTAGCAAACTGCAGGACTTGAGGAGCGCGGGATGGGGACTGTAGTTGATTCTCCTCCTGCCTTTCCCCAAACCCAACATGGGGCTGTTTGCCCAGCCTGCCCTCCCCACACCAGGCTGGAGCCTCACACCCAGCCCACACATGGGCAGGGACCTTCTGCTCGTCGGGAGGGCTGGGAACCACGACCTGGCTGCAGATCCCTGCGAGGTTATGGTGGGAAGGCTTGCAGGCAGCTGGCACAAGGCTCACATCACGCTTACTGAGCACAGTGCCATAGTGATGCTTCTCAAACCACGCCAGCTCCTTTTGCACGAGGCCTTTGTCTGGTTGCAGCATGGCCAACCTCCTTCGCATGTCCCATGCTTTGCGGCAGCTGCCTTCAGACAACACTCCCCACTGCAGCCAGCCCCAAACTCACTCCAGCTAAACCAGAACGAACAAGATTTAAAAGTTCTTCAAGTCCTCTCATAGCCTAAGAAGGGCCAAACCTCAGAGAATGTGAGAGAGCTGAGGTGAAGTCTCCTGCGGAGCATGGTGACGTCCTGCTCCTGCAGACACCGGGGCCTGTCGCTGGGCGATGCCTTGGCTCGTGAATGGCTGGTGGCCCCAAAAGGGTGGTTGTTTCCCCAGCAGCATCACCACGCTGCTCAGATGGGATGCTCGTTACAGCTGGGAGTTAATCGCACGGCGGCGACAGCTATTGTTTCTTCACTTCCTCTTGTTATTTCCCCTCTCCACAGATGGGGAGATCACTTCCAAGCCAATGGTGCTATTCCTGGGACCGTGGAGCGTTGGCAAATCCTCCATGATAAACTACCTCCTTGGGCTGGACGACACTCCCTACCAACTTTACACAGGTACCACACTCACAGCTCCCTCCCTGCTCAGCCAAGGGTGTGCTGGCACCTGCATTTCTGCATCCAGGTGGTCAGCAGCTCCCAGCCATGTATCTTTGATCCCCCTTGTTATGGCAAGGGGGTTGCAATCTGGTCCATGTTGCCTGGCTGTGGTGCCGTGTGGAGGGAGAGATTCTCCACCACTGTCTAGGGCCTGCCCACCCTCCTCCAGGAGGAGGAGGGGATCTATCCCTGCAGTGTCCCTGTCCCACAGCACAGGGCTCACTGCCTCCAGCCTCACCCATGAGAGCAGCAGTCACACCACAAGGGCAACTCGCCTTTGTCTTCTCCCCTGTCCTCCTCATGTGGAGCCAATTAATTAATCTTCCCAGGAGAAAAGCCATTCCCCTTCCCTCCTCCCTGCTCCCACAGATGTCATCTCAGAGCTGAGGGCAGATGTCCGTGGCCAGCTCTGTGCTGTGTTAATGAGGGTTCCCAAGAGGTGTTTCTTTAGGGAGCCTTGTGCAGTCAGGCCACTTCCAGAACAACCAGTCCCTGCAGAAAACAGCCCTGCTGGCATTTTCTCAAGAGGTTTGGCAAGAATTTCACAGGCCCGCTGCTTGCCTTCCCCCAGCATCTCTTGGCAAGTGAGCAATGCTCCTGAGCTCCCTGGCTAGTCCCAGGCCAGGCCTGTCATGTCTGTTGCCCTGCATGGATTTCACAGCTGTGCTGCTCCTCTCCTTGCTGGGCAGGGGCAGAACCCACCACCTCCGAATTCACTGTCATCATGCACGGCCCCAAGCTGAAGACCATTGAAGGCATTGTGATGGCTGCTGACAGCTCCCGCTCCTTCTCGCCCCTGGAGAAGTTTGGGCAGAACTTCTTGGAGAAGCTGATAGGGATCGAGGTGCCTCACAAACTGCTGGAGCGAGTCACCTTTGTGGACACACCAGGCATCATTGAAAACCGCAAGCAGCAAGAACGAGGTAGGGGTTTACTGGGTTCATCTAAGGGACTCCAGAAAAGATGCCGTAACAATGGGAGATGACAAAGATGGCTGAAGCACAACAAGGAAGAGCCTGAGGCTAGAGAAGGGGTCTTGCCTTGGAGGGGATGGCGACATGTGTCTGCCCACGGCTATGGCAGCAGCAGCTGGCACCTGGGAAACATACCCAAGTGTCATCAGTCAGAGCAGGCATTTCTGCTGTTTGGAGGGGGGACGGACAGGCGTTTCAGCAAGGTGTTTCTTGGGGCCTCTGTGGGCTGTTGATTGTTTGCCTCAGCTCAACACTTAATGCCCTGTTTGTCAGCTCTGGAGCCAGGCTTTGCCAATGGTGGGTGCTACAGCAGGGCCCAGAGAAGCACCAGTCCATCCCCACAGCACCTGGGCTGCCAGAACAGATCAGCAGGGCTTCCTGACCCACTTGGTACCCACTGGGGAAAGCAATGATTTGGCCAGTATCTGCTCACAGAAGCAGCAGGAATCTGTGGCCAGCAGCAGGGAGAAAGAAGGTTTGGAGTGAGGCTGAGGGAGACATGTAGTCGCAGGCCCAGACCCACAGGGATGGGTTTTCATGCCAAGAAGCTCTGAAGTGTTTTCAGCACATGAGAAACAGGTTCTAGGCTGCATGGGAAGTCCGCTGGGTCTCACACCCTGTTCAACCCAGACAGGACGTGAGGCATGGCAGGCTCAAAGTTTATCTGTCCCTTGCCCTGAAGGGACTCATCCTGTGCTGGCCATTTCTGCTGGATTTCTCTCTTTCCTCTCCTCAAGGTTACCCATTCAACGATGTGTGCCAGTGGTTCATTGACAGAGCTGATCTCATCTTCGTTGTCTTTGACCCTACCAAGCTGGACGTGGGCTTGGAGCTGGAGATGCTGTTTCGCCAGCTGAAGGGCCGCGAGTCTCAGATCCGTATCATCTTGAACAAAGCTGACAGCCTGGCTACCCAGGAGCTCATGAGAGTCTACGGTGCCTTATTTTGGAGCCTGGCTCCTCTCATCAACGTCACAGAGCCACCCAGGGTGTATGTTAGCTCCTTCTGGCCCCAGGAGTACCATCCGGATACCCACAAAGACCTGTTCCTCAAAGAAGAGATATCACTCCTGGAAGATCTCAACCAGGTGATTGAGAACAGGATGGAAAATAAGATCGCCTTCATACGCCAGCATGCCATCCGGGTGCGCATCCACGCCCTTTTGGTCGATCGCTATCTACAGACCTACAAGGACAAAATGACCTTCTTTAGCGATGGAGAACTGGTGTTCAGGGACATTGTGGAAGATCCTGACAAGTTCTTTATCTTTAAATCCATTCTGGCAAAGACCAATGTCAGCAAATTTGACCTCCCCAACCGTGAGGCTTACAAGGACTTCTTTGGCATCAACCCCATCACCAGCTTTAAGCTGCTGTCTCAGCAGTGTTCCTACATGGGAGGGTGTTTCCTAGAGAAGATCGAGAAGGCCATCACTCGCGAGCTTCCTGATCTCTTGGGAAGCATTGGCCTGGGGAAGAAGCCCAACGTTCTCTCCTGCGACATCACTGGATGTGGTGAAACCCCCAAAAATCGCTACAGGAAACCCTAAGGTGTTCTGTAATATAACCATCCACATGTTCCTACCAGTGAATGAGCTTATGTCTTATCTGTCCAAGAAGCCGTGGTTTGTTAACCCTTTGAGTGCCATGCTGGCAAAGGCTACTGTACAATGAGGACTTTGAGTCATTGACATCGATGGCAGGGGAAGATGGGTGGGCATAAGAAAGAGAATAAAAACTGTGAATTCCTGACATTTTATCTTTGTTCTTTTGAGTAGAAGGCAATGTTTAAGCTGTAAGTATGAGCAATGCACAGTGAGCTAGAACTGTAGCTGCTTTTTCACTGTCGCCAAGAGTGCGTGAACAGGAATTTCAACCTCTGCATCCCCGAAGCCGGCAGGGAGCGAGAATGAGGGCACAGCGTGAGAGCACAGGGGGGAGCAGTGACACACTAACCCAGGGCATCACCAGGAGCCCTGGGGGCAAAGCACTGGGCGAGGGGAGAGAGGCCAGGTCCCAGCTGTTGTTTTCAGGCACAAACATTCTACAAATATCTGCAAATATTGATCTTGTTTTTCTTTCTGAGACTTTTAGGTTGCCCAGTGAGTTCTCCTTTCGCATAACAGCTGAACTGAACTTCTGTAGCCTTCATCTGAGTGTTTGCTTTAAGAAGGGGCTTTTGCAGGGGCATTTGTAGTTCCAGACAGGTAGTCGTGATGGGTTTTGCAAGTCCTTATCATATGAAGCAGTGGGCCGGAAAGGAGCTGAGCTGTGCTGGAGGAGGAGGGCCAGCTCCCCAAATCAGAGATCCACAGGGAGCCGTGAGCAGGTTTTCCTCCCCCTGGGCCATCATGGGGACAGGGCACTTCATCTCCATGTGTGCCATCAACCTCAAAAACCCATGCCAGCAAGTCAAGCCTGTGGAACAGCAGGGCTCTAAGGATTAAGGGTTTGGTAGTTTGACCTTGTTCAAGTTCATGTTGCTGTCTTCTCAGTCAAACCCCTGTGTTTTTGTGCTCTGTGGAGGGAGGCAGAAACAGGGGGCTGCAGCCTTTTGCCCATCGGCTAATCTGTTCTGCCTAGGAAACCCAGGCAGGTTTCTCTGGCTTGTTCACAAAACTCCCCCCATTTTAGCCACGATTTTGTTCTCATCTCTGTACATCACCAGTCAGTCCTGGGAGGAGAATGAGTATTGCTTTGGAAACACCCGAGCAGGGTGAGGTTCCCTGTGAACAGCCGACCTTGAAACCCAGCAGTGAAAGCCGGGGGACTAGGGGTGGCCTCATCAGTCGGTCCTCATGGCCAGCACAGCTGCCCGCTGAGCCAAGCACAAAACAGCCAAGAGGTAGATGTTGCTCTGGATGGAGACCGGCGCCTTCGAGTCCACCAACAACCTGCTGAACATTCTTTCTCCATTCTCCTGCCAAACGACCACAGCTAGCGCTGCTCTCCAGGAAACCTCTGGAGCAGAGGGACTTACCTTTGACAGGAACAAGAAGACGTGGAGGTGCTGGGTGAGGCAAGAAAAAGGCAAAAGGACTGAAAGAGGGAAAGAGGAAGCTGGGAATGGAAGGCTCTGTTGTGATGGGAAGAGTGTGCAGGGCAGCACTCCTTGTCTCCACGTGCACAGAGGGACGTGAGCTAGGGCAGAAGTTCCATGGAGCTCCCTGTCCCCCAGCACTGAGGCCAGGCACTGTGAAGAAGAGGGCTCCTCAAGCCCAGGTGAGTCTGGGGGGACATGGCCCCAGACACTTCCATGCTCCTTGTCTCTGTTTCGAGGTGGGACTCTACCTTTGAGCTAATGAAGACAAGACCCAGATCTACATCCAAGCATGGGAAGGGGCATGCCTCGTGTAGAGGAATTTTGACTGCAGCGCAGAGAGGACAACAGGTACAAGTGAAGGCAAGCAGAGTAAGCAGTGTCAGAGACAGCAGCAGCCAGAGCAGCCTGGAGAGAGGTGGTGTGCTCCTGAGTCAGTGCCGTGAAGTCTCAAACCTGCCCCAGAGCTGCTTCCCCCCTCCGTTGTTGTTCCTTCTTCTTTTGTGTACATGACCACATCTCTCATTGGTGTCTCTCTCTGTCTCACCCATTCCTCTCACTCTCCTCCACCGGGTTAGTCTGCATGGTTTTCTTAAGAGCTAATGGAATAGAAATGCTGACAGAAATGTGCTAATATTGTCACTGTTTCTGCTGCCACAGTGTGTGTTACTGTCACGGCAAGCAAAGGCCATCAAACGTTTCTATTTACAAGCACTGTATTGTGCCATCTCTTTCCTTGCTGCCCTGTTCCCCCAAAACCCGTGGGCTCTGGGGTACCCAGGGAAAGGCTCCCCATCCCAGGGAGGAGCTCTGACTCTCCCTTATGCCCTTGAACACGAAGGCACCTTCGCTCTGCTCTCAGGCTGCTCCCATTGTTCTCCTCATCCCTTCTCTGTTTTCCTTTTGTTCTGCTTTATCCTCCAGCATTCATTGCTTCCTTTCCTCCCTTTTTCTTCCCTTCAGCACCTACACGCCCTGTGCAAAGCCCTGGTGCCCATGTTCTTGATGGGGCTTCCCTGTGACAGTCGAACCCCTTTTCCCCTCCCTGATATACATCAGGGTTCTCTTCCCAAAGCGATGGCAGCAGTGGTCTGAAGCTGGGGGTGTTTTCTGCTCCCCGTGATGCACACTGACTTGGCTCCTTGCTGGCTTGGGGACACACCAACACCAAGATTCTTTTTCTCCTGTGGATCCGAGTGGCTGTCAGTTCCAAGAGGATTGCAGTCCCCAGCCCAGCTACCTCCAAGATTTCTTGGGGGCATTCTGGAAAGCTGGGAATGGAAATGGGGAGCATGGAGACCTTTACATTTTGCCAAGAAACCCCAAGCCCCCATGCCCGTGACACTGACGGGGGTGAGTGTCTTACCCGAGAGCATTGCAGGAGGGAGGGAGCCGGGACATAGGCCCACATAGATGCCCGTGGTCGTGTGCATTGGGATAAAACTGTCAGCTTGAACATCAGCCTGTGTAATAAAACCTGATATTTTCCAAACACACTCCCTGGAGATGCTTGGTTTGTTTCTCTGGCTGGAGTGGTGTGAGCACTGGGGCTGGGGTGGCCGAGGGGGTGTAGCTGCAGGAAACGAGGCAGGAGCTCCCATCTCCTTCCCCGTACCGGGGCCTCGTACCCATCCCTCTCACTGGACCTGCTGGCCACACCCGAGCCATTTGGTTGCATTTTCCAACTTGTCTTCCCATGCCGAAGGCACGAACAGGCAAGCTGAACGCCAACTCCTTTGCTTTGCACCTCAGGGCAGCACAATCCTCCCTGGTGGGACAGATCCTTGCTCCCACCCGCACCAGGGGATGCTTTTTAACCCCCCTTTGTGCGCGGTTCCCCTCCTCCTCCTCCCCTCGCAGAGGCCCCCACCATGCTGAGCGCTCAGAGAGAAAAGCCAACCCTCCCCTCCACCCCGGGGACCACAGTCCCCAATCCCCTTCCCTCCGCCGCGGACCTGGAGCCGGGTGGTGCAGGCCCTGCTCTGCAGCACTGCTCCTGCCCAGCTGCGGGTGCCTTCGCCTCCAGGGAGAGGACAGAGGCCGCATCCAGCGCTGCAGGGCTCAGCCAGAACATCCCTGCGGGGCAATCCCCGAGGCAGCAGCCAGGGCTGGCTGCCTGGCTGCGAACGTGATGCTGGAGGGAGGAGAAGCAGCCGTGGCGCAGAGCATCCCTGTGTGCTGCCGGCCCACCCTGCGCCGAGGCTGAGTCACGGGGCGGCGTGCCTGCCATGGCGCGCGTGGGCCCACGGCCGTGACTCAGCCCCACGGCTGCCAGCGCTCACCGGTAAAACACAAGCCAAGGGATTTACAGTCCCCTTTGGTTGCCCTCCACAATGTCAACCACTCAGCAGCATCACTGTCTTTCAGGGATGAAAATATTCTGTATCCCTGTGGCTCATTTGCGATTATGTCAATTTTATTTCTGGGTTTTTATAGGCATCACACTGCACATTGTAGGGAGAGACAAGGAGGGGGTGCCTGAGCAGATTGTTTTTTCTTGTTGTGAGCTCAAGGCCAGAGATTCCTGCAGTCATGAGCCGAACTCCGCACCTGTGCATCCAGAAGCACTCTGTGGCAGAGCACGTGCCTTCTGGTAGCAGCAACTGCCTATAGGGAATGTGGAGATTCATTGCCCCTTTCATGGGGAAAGGACTTAAAACCTCTATAAAGGTCTGTTGGGAGCCAGGGGAGGAGCCCCACTGCTCCACCTGCAGCACAGTGGAGGTCTCCCTGTGCCACCATCCCCATCCAGCCTGTCCCCTCCTGTCCCCCTGCACTCACTGCTGGGGCCAAAACCCCACCAAACCTTGCCCCCGAAATGCCCTGTGCTGCAGTTGCAAGACCCCAGTGGACATGGCATGTTTATGAAGCCACTTGCTCCCTTCCCATGTGGCCCCCAAAATCTGCCCAGCCTGGTGACCAGCACAGTGCTGGGGCTGGTGCCCTCCCCACTGCACCCCCCCACTGGCAGCAGCTCACCTCACCGCCTCAAGCCAGCATTTATGGACCCCGGAGCAAACAAAACCCTCCTGTCACGCAAGTCCCTCCTTTCTGGGACTTCCAAGCTTTCTGTGGCCCAGAGGGCACCCTGGCTCACACCATCCCCAGCCCTCAGGTCCCAGGTTTCATCACTACTTCGCTGCTAAGAGCTGGAAGAGTTTCAGCTGGGGAGACCGGAGAGATTGCTGGGTGCCCACATGCTGCCTTCTCCCGGGCAAGAGCCTGTGCAGCACGGGAGGCAGTTTGGTGTATGTTATAGTGAATTCCCATGCAATTATTATATATATGTCCAGCAGTCCTGCACGGATTATCTCATTTGGCTG